AGAGGAGCGTTTATTTTAAGTGCACTCGAGGCGGCGGTTTTAAATGTCGCGCCATCGGGACTTGTTAGAAAAGGAAGGAGAAAAAAGTGGAGGATCGATAGTGAAACAGAGATCTGCTGTATCGATGAGAGAAGTGACGAGGGTTAGGTTCTTGTGCTTCTTCACAGATGGTGCACGGAGCTCGAAAAGAGGTATAGATCGCCGCGTGGATCATGGATCCTTTCGTGGCGAAAAAATGAAAAAGTCAGATCAGAGATAACGTAGGAAAATTCTCTTTCTTACATCGAGTTGTGCACCGAATCGTGTTCTTCGTGTTCAAACACATCGAATGAAAATAAAAGCTGCATAAATTGTGTCTAAACTTATAGTGAAATAGGTATAGCGATCTATACCCCATCTCAGTTTAAAATCCGAGTTTTATCTATAGCTTCGTAAATTTATATTAAAATCGTTAAATAAGCTTGCTACACTTACTCTTGGTCATTCGTATCGTTTAGTGTAGAATTAGTGAAGAACATTACATTGCTAATGATACATACTTCATAAAAATTCTAAAAAACTATTAGAATTAATAAAGAAAAAAAGTTTTACCCTGCATCTGAAAACGTGGAAATGACTTTTGCTGTTTTTGATCTCACTGATTCAATTACACATACAATGTCCGTACAATTCCATTCTTAAAATGTATATTTGTATCTCTAATTAGAATCCCCAGACAAAGGAGGTGGACAATAGCACAGTCCCTCCTTCTCCGCGGCGTACCTAGCAGCGCATTCTCTCAGCAAAATCTTAAACGGATGTGGAGTGATATCCTCAGAAGCGTGCAACAATTCCTCCGTCAATTTCTCGTACTCCTCCTCTCGTCTCTTCTCTTCCAAACGTCGTTCCTCTTCTCTCTCAGCCTCTCTGCGACGAACATCCTCAGCCTGCTTCCACTGATCCTCCAAATCCTTCCTGTAACTCAACATCCGATTCTTCCTCTCCTCTTTACTGTAAGCAGCCAATTCTGC